CACACACACACACACACACACACACACACACACACACACACACATCCCTTCCTTCTGAATCACTGATCAGTCTGACTGACTGATAAAGGACATTATCTGCTAAGAATGTTGTTTTAATTATTTATATATAACCAGTAAAACGTGTGAACGTCCCATTGTTCCACTGGTCGTGCTCACCCAGGCAAACCTCTGCAGTCTCGCACTTTCATAAAATGAGGTTTGGGGTTAATCTGCTATTTGCAAATGCTCCATGTTCTATATTAGAGCAGCTCTGCTATCACCTGGTTACATAAGCTGGATCCTGACGTTGGAAGAGTTGTGCTGCCCCCACATGGATGAAAAGATTTACTGCCCTTATTTTACGTCTCTTATTTGAAGTCACTTTCACGATGAGCAGCAGCTGACACTTGAAACAGCGTAAGCACATTTAATGGACTTTTCAGTCGTATGTTTAGGAACGCTTCAATTTCACATTACTGTATATTTGTATACTTCCACAGCTGAAAGAACAATAAATATTTTCTTCTTTTTAAAGAAGCCACACATGCATTTCACCTGTAATAATAAATCTGACAAATAAAGCTTGTCTGTTGTTTGTAATTCACAGTGATAAAGATGGCTGGTTGTTTGTGGGTCTGTTTGGACCAACAGGATGAGTCACTGCAGGACCAGGAGCACATTATGAGCTGAAATATGTTGTTTTTCTCAGTTACAGCATCATAGACAGCATCATGCTGACAAACCAGTAATATAAAGTGTGGCTGATGCCAGAGCTCATGCTGATGTAATGTGCGAGACTCCCAAAAAGTTGATTCTGTTCATCTGGACGTTGTCAGTGAGAGAAACGTTTCGTCACTGATCCAGGTGACGTCTTCAGTCTCAGCTGACTGCAGGTTTCAAACCTTATAAACAGCACATTTGCACAATGACTGAAAACAGCACCACTGAATGAACAATGAGCTGGGAAGTCAGTTCCTTTATCATTAACATGCACATTGATCAAAGACCACTGATCCATGGTCATGAGTCCCATTCACAGAGAGTTGGGGAACGGCTGCAATCACAGCATTGTAAGATGGTGACAGATGGACCCTTGGGCCCCCTCCTCGATTCAGAGATGGTCGTTCCCTTTTCACGTAAATGGCCTCTTTGACTCCGTGCTCCGCACGATGTGTACATCCTCATCATTGAAAGAGTGTCCACTGGCCTGTTGGTGTAAATCAGGGGTAGGCAACTCCAGGCCTCAAGTGCCGGTGTCCTGCAGGTTTTAGATCCCACCCTGGGAACTTCAAGAAATGCTGAGGAGTCATTTAGCCCTTTAAATCAGCTGTGATGGATCATGGACACATCTAAAACCTGCAGGACACCGGCACTCGAGGCCTGGAGGTGCCTACCCCTGGTGTAAATAGACTGCAGAGTCCTGGCTGACGAGGTAGCTCTCTTTGTTGTGCTAGAGTGGCATTGATCAATGATCTTAGACCAGTGATTGATGATCAATGGTCATGACAATCTGCATATTAATGATCATGAAACTGACCTCACAGCCCGTTGTTCATTCAGTGGTGCTGGTTTCAGTCATTGTGCAAATGTACTGTTTATAAGAAACCTGCAGTCAGCTGAGACTGAGGAAGTCACGCTGCGTCCAGGTGAACAGAATCAACGTTTAGGATTTAGCTGGATGATTCAATTCAATTCAATTCAATCTTTATTGGCAGACTTCATGTCCATAAAAAACAAGACAAAAAAACACACACACAACACTCCCCCCCCAACACAAGGTATAAACCATTAAATATATATATGTATATAAATAAGTATCTAAAACATTTGTAAAAATATAAAACCATAATATACATAAAACACAATTACTTAAAATAAATCAATAAATACACAAACACTTTAACCAGTGCTTTCTGAGACTGGATGAGTAACGGGAACCACTCACTGGATCTGTGAGTGCTAAAATTATACTGTTACTCGAACCATCCAGTCGTTCTCTAAAATTGAACATTAGCTTCCTTAAAAGTGCTTTAAAAGTCCAAACACCCACAGCTACAAACATCTGGCTGGCACTACCACTTCTAGGTATCCTGCAAAGGATTCTCATCGCATCATTATATGCAACATGCAGCTTCTGCATGCTACATTGTTTGTAGGATGACCACAAGGGGGCAGTATATAGCGGTGTGCAATACGCTTTAAACAAAGCCACTTTAACTGGAAGTGAACAAAAGCTGAATTTGCGTGCAATAGTATTTGCCTGCACATAGAGCTTACACCGTTGTCTGTATATGTCATCATCATCATTCATTTGCTCAGTAATAAAGTGACCGAGGTATTTCACCTTTTTATGAACTTCAAGAGTTTTTTGTGCCAGTTTAAACAAAGGGAAATTTAGCTGTTTATCCTGCTTGGTTCTACATATCAAAACAGCACTTTTAGCAGCATTGTACTCAATGTCATATTGCACACCATATTCAGTACAGACATTAAGAAGATCCTGTAACCCAGCACTGCTTGGACTAAAAACAACCAGGTCATCTGCATACATAAGATGATTTATCAGTGCTTTACCTAATATACACCCAGTGTTACAGGCTCTCAGTTGTATGGACAAATCATCAACATATAAATTAAATCAAATTGGAGACAAAATCCCACCCTGTCTAACACCATTGCTGACACCAAAGGGGGCAGAAATACTGCTTCCCCATTTAACCTGCATGTTCTGATGAGCGTACCAGCAAGAGAGAATCCTCACGATGTACTGAGGAACTCCCCATCTCTTCATTTTATCAAAAAGTTTTCTGTGGTTCACTCGATCAAAGCCTTAGAGGCATCAATGAAACACATGAGGACAGATGAATGAGCATGCATCAAGACGAATACTGCAAACTTTTCTCTGATTACCGAGACTGCTGCAGGCGGTCAGTCCACAAATCCAAATAAAAGTTTGCATTTTGAGAAACAGCACTGACGGTTTGGCGCATGGAGGACATTTACAGGCTCACCCACGTTTGGGTCAACATAAAGATCACGCTTTCAAATAAATGAATCCCACAATTCTGACAACATTTTTATTCAGAAGAGTTTATTTATGTATTTTTATTGGTACAGTTGTTTTAGTCACAGTGTGAATGAATTCACTTTAGAATCACTGAAGAGCTTCTATAGTCTGAGCCGGTCTCTACTCTACAGTATTTACAGAGCAGTTTGGGAATTCACAGTTTCGGTTTCTACTCAGCCTATTTCACACAAAGTTCCTGTTCCCCGCGTCTGTGCGCTGCTTTCATTTTTTATTGCGTGAGGTTTGTTTTTCCTACAAAGAGTTTCATTACGTCTGATCTGATTTATAACCAAACGGTGATCGACGTGACAGCATGATTCAAGCGAGTCTCATTCCAGTCCAACAAGCCTGTTTTCATCCATAACCACAAGATGGCGCCACTAGTCCGATGGTAGTTTGGCAGCTCGCGCCCACGTCGGTGCAAATCCACCTGAAGATGTGAAAACAAACACTGAACTCAGGGAAAGGGCTGGGAGAGCGAGGGAGCCGAGGTCTGATTTATTATTTATTCAACGTTTTTAAATATATGTACACTATTTGTTTGTTGTTTCAAAAACAAGCATCGTGTAAACCTTTATTTGGTTTCCCATTACGTCTCACTGATAGTGGCCTAAATAAGGACATTTCATATTTGGAATATTTATGGATCAAATTAAGCGCTCGGGTTCAAAGCACTGTGCGTAATCTGATCGTAATCGCTTCTCCACAAGGATTAAATTAAATTAAATTAAATGAAATATTTAATTTCTTGGTTTTCGTGCCTTACTTACATGCAAGAAGACTTCCGGTGTCATTAGTCATAATTTTGAGTTTAAACACAACTTTGCGCCGCTTAAAAAAGCCTGACTTGACATTTGAAAAACATCTAATTTTGAACCACTTTGAGCCTAAATCATATTTTCCCCGCCAAACACCAAAGTCAGCGTGTTTGTGCTGTTTGTCTGTCCTCCCTCACTGCAGTGTGACGGTTTCCCGGTGTGTCTAAAATACGCATCGAGAGTCAGTTGTAGTGGTTGTTGATGGTGCTCAGACTGCTGATGTTGTTGACGCAGCCGATGTGGGACGGGGACACGGTGCCAAACGGCCCCGGAGGCTGGAGGTTGTGGCTGTGGTACAGAGCCGCTGGTGTGGAGCCAGCCCAGTAGGAGAACCCCGAAGGCCCCACGCCAGGAGCCACGAGGTTCAGTTTGGAAATCCCGGAGAAGGGGATCGGGGAGAAGTTGCCCTGAAATTTGTAGATGGCCTGCTCGGTGGTGGACGGCTGGCACACCTGCGCCAAGCCGTGGAAATCAAACTTGTAGGCGTATCTTTTGCCGTGGACTTTGGTCATGATGTTTTTGTCGTAGTAGTAGCGCAGCGCCCGGCTCAGCTTGTCGTAGTTCATGTTGGGTTTGCTTTTGCGCTCCCCCCAGCGCCGGGCCACCTCATCAGGGTCGATGAGCTTGAACTCTCCGTTGGTGCCCTCCCACGCGATGCACGACATGTTGGTGCTGTCAGAGAGGAGCTCCAGCAGGAACTGCCAGAGCTGAATCTGCCCACTCCCTGAGTGTGGGAAGAAAAGAAAATCACAACTAGTCCGGAAATAATCTGAAATAAATCCCGAAAACAGCAACAAACTAAAAAATACAAAATTTTGTCTGGAAAGTAAAAAAGATAGATAGATAACTGGTCTCAAAATAACGGTTTACATAATTCAGCATTATCAGTTCATGAAAGATAATATTGTGAATTTCATCATATTTGAAAATTCAGGTATTAAATAATGAAAGACACGCAAAAGATACGCAGTTATTTTATTACATATAATTAAAGATAATAACTCCATCATGACATCATTTTACAAATCTCTATTTACTCCTCTAAAGCAGCTTAAATGGGTCCGGTTATATTTAGCTTCTCCATATTTTCTATAACATATATTTAAAAAACACGCTGCTCATAATCATCAGAAATTTAAAATAAATTAAAACATCTTTGCAGGAAGTCCTGAGAGCAGTAAGAGTGAATATTAGCGTCCAACACAAGACGTGACAAATTCATTTTGGCCGTTGTGTTTTTTTTTATCATAAAATAAACACGATTTTTATTTTCTTTCGAAATGATCCCGGAGATGCTTTGATAATTATCTGTTTTAGAGGAGAAAAGAAAAATAATGTGATGGTGCAAAAAAAAAACCATGAGAAAAAGAACTGAATACGTTTCAGAACCGGCTGAATGATCTATTAAACCTAAAGACGCGACTATAGGAAATACATGAAGCGCAGAGTAAACGCATTAAAATCCTGCTATTATTGTGATATATTTTGATTTATTAACATTTATTATGATATTGTGATCAATATTTGTTTATTTCAGAAACTATTTTTATGTATCGACCCGTTTGCGATATCATTTGAGAGGTTTCTGTGGGACTATTTTCTAACATCTTTATTATTATTATGATATCATTTTTTATGTTTTCATATATCTTTGCGTTTGAAGACGCTCTCCATTAAAAATAAGTAAATTGCTAATTAGGAGCTGGACACTCCGCAGTGACGGTATTTAGCGAGTTTGTCCTCTTACCTTTTTGAACTCCTGTATTTATCGGAGCCCAGGAGGTTCCTTTGCTTTCTTTCAACAGATTTTCTGTTGGATCTGAAATGAAAACAGACACATTTTCAGCATCTTCATCCAGAAATTACGACAAGAGGATTTCTTAAGCAGATGATTTTTATCACTTGTATTTCAAAATATTATGATTTAATATTTATTTAGAAGAACAAAAATCTCTTCATGGTCAGATTTTATAGGCACAATCTAGCAAGAAGCGCAATATCTCAAGAAAGTAGAAAAATGCATTGAAAGAACCGGAGGACTGAGATTAGAGCTGCTCAAAAATGCTCTGATTTTTCTAAAATGTCGCAAACTGGAGCGCAAGGAAAAAAATACAAATAAAACAAAATAAGATTTAAAAATTCAAACATTGAGCTTCAAAATTCCAATTGTATCCTGGTCCATTTGCAGTCTAATGCCTGGAGCATGTCGCCTTTGCAGTCTCTGCTAGAAGCCAGGAAACGCGTCCAGGAAAAAGGATTTCCGATTTCCGACAAAAGAGCAGACGGGCTTTCAGATTGAAAAGGCTGAACAATGCTCTGGCCTGGAAACGGAGCATCATCGTCGGCAGGACACCGACACCCGGAGAAAAATGTAAAAAATCTCGATAGATATATAAAACGGGCTGTTTCTCTCATTCTTAATGGGACCAAATGACGAACCTGAGAGATACATGTTGAACATGAGGTTTCCTCCGCAGTCCTGTCTCATTGTGTTCACTTGTTCAGAAAGGGTTGGATTTCATTTCGTTGGTGGCGGAGGAAAAGATTTTTATTAAACTTTATCTCATAACTGTGATCTGGAATAAATGCGGGTAGACAGATTGAAGTTTCCAGGCAACTGTCACTGGCCCCCATCTCTGAGACAATATTCAGACAGCAATTTCCCCTGGTGCATTGCTTTAATTAAAAGAGCAATTTACCTCTGTCAGCCCGCCTGGCGCCCACAATAAAAAGAGGCCAATAGAAATTCGGCCCTTATCAATCCACCATCACAGTTTAATAAAGTTTCCGCGTTAAGATCTGAGTTTCTATGGTGAATTGAAGTGTTTGACATGGAAACCAGTTCAGATCCTCCTCACTTTTCCGCCTCTTTACCTCTCGGCAAACAACAAAGACCTATTTCATGTTGGAAAAAGAATATTTACCTTGAAAAAATACGCTTCAGTGGCCACGAGAAAACAAGAACATTTCATCCCTCCTAACCTGCTCTGTGTGGGTTTAAGGTTATATGGCCTCAATCTGGGGGTAATGAGGTCGTAACTTTAAAACCATGCCTCGTGATGCTCGTTGACGTTATCGTGTCCACTCATAATTTTATACGTCTGTGTTTTTAGAAGCAGTGGAGTGAAAAGCCCATGGGCTTTATGGCCATGTGCTAGAGTCTGCGCATTTCTTCAGGCGTAAATAAGGCATCATACGGGCAACGCGGGCTGATGATAGAGCTTTATGCAACTAATAACACACATTACCTTTATTAAGAAAATCCTCCGCTGGGGAGCTTATAGTTTTAAAATTCAACATTCTTTAAATAGTGTGTCAAAGACGCAGTAACAATGTACCAAAATATTTAATATTTTAATATTTATTTAGGTTCTGGTGACTTAATGTCTTTAGATATCTTCAGTGTCCCTGGTTTGGTTCCAGCACATCTTGTAAAATATGTTTTATATCATACAACAAAATCCATTTTATTAAAAACACCAAATGCAAAGACTCTGACACGTTTTCTTCGTCTTTTTCCGTCCGCAACAACAGCATCAATGCATCATAACCTCACAGTGCAGCATATACCTGCTGTCTGTTAATAACATGGTCATAAACACAAAAGCACTTTCACTTCTGTCACTTGGCACATTTGAGCCATCCTCTTTGCCACCTCGAACAAAGATTTTAACAGATACCTTTCTTTAAAAAAGGCTTCGCGCTGCTGCCTCAGTCCTGGCTTCAAATCCACTCTTTGACTTCCTCTCACATGCCTGTTAGAATAACTGGTGATTCTAAGTTTGCCATACCGCCCATAAACTGGCAACCTGCGATATGTTCAAAGCCCCGCCCACCACGACCCTGAACTGGACATGGATGCATAAACTAGTTCCTTTAATTTGCTGAAAATACATCTGGCCTTTGTAAAGATGACATCTTAGTTCATAACATATAATCAGTCCTCTGTGCTGACTGAACTGAAAGTGGATATCTGCTTATCATTAATCATCTTTATAATGAGTCACATGACTGAGGTCAGACACGCACAAATGCACACGTGTTTATTTTTAATTTTTAAAAAGCACTAGAGCATCAAGTGTACAGCTGTTTATTTTTATATGGTGAGTTATCACAGTCAAAGCAGACAGCTTGGAATAAAATATCAGCACCACACACACACACACACACACACACACACACACACACACACACACACACACACACACACACACACACAGGAAAAGCTTTGTAACTGACAGAGCTCATAATCATATATTTCACAGCATATTTTGTCCCCCTTCAGTTTGGAGATGTCCTGGTAGGTGTGTCTTTGGTGTTCAAGGCTTGCTTTAGCTGCCTGTGTAACAGATAAAATTCACAGGCAACTTAAAACAAGCCTCGAAAGCCAGACTGAATCCACTGGAGAAGTGAAAGGAAGAGAAATGGATGCATAAACATCCACCTGTGCTCAGTCTGAGGACAGAAATCCACTGGAGGAACATTCAAACTTAAAAGCAAAAATAAAAAAGAGTAAAAAAAGTCATTTATCTGAGCTAGAGTCCATAATCTTAAATATATAAAAAGCAAAGTTAGCATCAGCCGGTAGCCAGGTGGTGTCATTTCTCACTTGTAAACCTAAAGAGTCAAAAGTGTCACTGTTAGCAAACCCCACAATAACCACTGGACTCAATTTGTTACTTGACAACTTTAAATATTCAAATCGAATGAAGTAACTTCATATTTTAAGCTGTAATTCTAAACCACAGACTAATCAACCCTGCAAACATTACGAAAAGCTGTAACAATGAAGTTTTCTCTGTAAAGTCTCGAGCTTACCTTGGTGCTCTGAGCTGTGCAGCTGTAACTTTCTTGTCTACTCAAGTGTCACTCCTCTGTAATCTGCGCTGCAGCGGCTTTAATCAGTCTGCAGAGGAATGTATATTTGAGAAAGGTGTGTGCCGCGTGGTTACACATTTATATAAAGATCCTGTTTTTTGGGTGTGGGACTGTGAAAGCTTTTTTTGGGGGTGTAACACGGAATCCTATGTCCTGGACCAACAGGAGGAGTGTAGGTGGAGGTAAACACACTCCAGGAACCCGGAGTGCGACTGTAAGATCAACATCACAGTGACACATCAGAGTGAGCAAACAAATGCTAAGCTACTAGACTTTCAAATGAAGTACTCACGGTATGCAAGGTTGAGTGCAATGCTGTGTATGCTGTTCACACTATTAAGGGCTGCTTTCGGATATCTCTTGATTTTATACTGCAGAGGCTGCAGTTTTCATTTGGATCAAACTGATCGATTAAGTTGTGAAACCTAAAATGTATCTAAACTTTTATCTGAAACTAAAACAGAACATTTATGATGTTTTGTCTCCCGGGGAACTCCTGCTGGATTTTTTATTAAGTTTGTTAGCTTTAATAGCTCTTTAACACCATCATAGCAGAGGAAGTCAGTTGAAATTAAATAAAAAGCCACTCATGCCCATGTTTTTTTCTTATTTACATATGTCTGTTAAGGAGTGTCAGCTGTCTAAAGGTGCCGGCTTTGAGTGGCCAACTGCCACATGTTGCTTTCACGGAGCGTTGCCTTATTGGTCAGTTTGCCAAACTGTGCCTCAAACAGTTGAAAAACAAATAATAGAAACCAAAGTGATCTTGTGCTCTTGTTTATTGGAAATAAGAATACAGTATGACAAGAACAACATTATACATCCTAAAGCCTAACAGAATCAAATCTTTCCAGGGATGTTCACTGAAAGGCCAAATATGCACTTCAAATAAACACAAAGCAAAACCTGCCTCTGAGAACAACGTCTTCATAGAGCTACAAAGGTTTTGCAATGCTTGGACACCTGCAGTCTAACTGCAGGTACAGATTAATAGCTTAGTAGAAGTCGAGTATTACAGCCACTTTCTCTGAGCTCTTCATTTCCATTTATTCTATTTGGGTTGATAAACTTTCATGTAAAAAAAAAAAAGAAAAAGAATACCGACAAACAGTGTCTAGTTTTGAAGAAAAGCCTTTATTTCCTATTTCAAGAATTTCAAGAACATGCTTCAGCATGATAGTAGAAGTAGGTACTTAGATATCCATACATGCAGAGCCACAGAGTGATAGAAAGAGTTTGTCCATCTACTGTTCTGTGACAGCGATCTGTCCAGGGTTCAAGTTGAGAGAGCGATTATGGGGAGGGGTTTTTTCTTTCTTTTTCAGGTGGGGTCAGGCCGGCAGTGTGGAGGCTTAGTGCTGGATCCTACGAATGGACTGCACCTGGTTGGTGTGAGCCTGGGTGCTGTACTCATTGTAGTTTCTGTACTCGCCTTGGTGTCTATCTCTCTCCAGGATGTACTGGTAGCCACGGTAACCAGGGAACTGGTAGGCAACCCAGCTGTAAAGAAGGAGGGAGGGTTAGAGTCGAGGTCACATCAAAGGATTCAGTAAAGCATCTTTGGGTTCTGCTAGTCTTTAAAGTTTAATGCACTTTGGTAAATTCAGTGCAATTACAAAGTCAGGAGACTGTGTGCAGCTCGTCAAGCTATATTTTGCAGCAGCGTGTTAAATTAAAAACTAACTTGAATAAAATAAGAGCACAATATGTAAGTGTAAGCACGTGTTGTTTATTTTAAGGAAAGACGTTGAACACAGAGAAAAACGTGTAACTTACGCTCCTGAGTTGACTTTGATAGAGGGCACCTCCTTGCTGCACCAGCCCATGGCCTGTAGGGATGGGTAGTCATCGCACAGCTCAAACTTACGGCCCTGGAAGTCTTCACACTCGTACATGGTCACCTTGCTGTCACTGTGGTTCTGCAGAGAAGCAAACAACTCATTTCGAAGCTGTTTTATTACATTATAGTTGGTACGTAATTAGAGAAATAAAGAGGACATTAATGCTAAGAACTATGAGGGTTTTATTCAGGGTTGATTAGAAAACATATAGAACCTATGGCTCAATATTTATTTTAAAGGAACAACAGACAAGGAAAGAGACCTTTAAAAAATACATTTCTAAAGCTAACAGGATAGGAAGCGTCACAGGATGAGTAGCCTGTAAGTGATGCATTAAAATAAATATATGCAAACACATCTGCAGGATTCACAAGAAGAAGGAGGGAGGCTAATGTCTCAGGAGGCGTGGAGAAGACAGACCGCTTACAAAGACTGATTGATAAAAAGAGAAAACAGATAAATGAAAAGGAGGAGGGACTCACAGCACACTTGATGGGTCTGAAGGAAAGCAGGTGCTCGGTTCTGTAGCTGCTATTTCCGCTCCAGGCCTCGTAGCGAGGATAGTCTCCCTTCTCCAGGATGAACTGCTGTCCCTGGAACTCAGGGTACTCATAACCCACCCAGCTGAGAAAAGAGACAGAAACACTGAGGTTAAATGTGCTGGAAACGACAGAATAATCCCCAAATAAAAAAAAAAGAACACTAAACAATAAAAACTTTTAATGGCCGACTAAATACACAACACAATGATATTGACACTGTCGTCCTTCTTAAACAATAGAGTCCAGCGCTCACAAAAGCAGCATGCAGCTCCTTTTGTGACTGCAGAGCACAAAGCAAACATTAGATACTGCTCCTGCCTCCACCGCCGCTGCCGGGCTGTGCCCACCCCGGCCTTTTTATCTGATCACGAGTCACAGCCAGCAGCTGCACACAGCCAACTCATATCACAACAGGGACACACTTGGATGCATGCACACGCACACACACATGTAAGCAGTACATGCCAAGCAGCAAACTAATAACAGCGCAGGTTATAATTTAGAGTTTTTGTTATTCTGTCTGCTCCACTTCTTGACTCCTGTCTGCTTTAGTCCGACCTTTTCAGGTCAGTGAGATTCAAATTTCAAGAGAACAAACATGAATGTACAAGATGTTGCTACTGAAATATAAAAAGAAAAAGTGCTGATCCATAATGCGCTTACAGGTATAAACAGCTTTAATGTGTCTTTCACTTACGGTCCATTCTCCACCTTGATGGAGCGGATCTTGTTGAAGCCCCTCTCCATGATGTTCTGGCACTCCAGCATGAACTCACAGCGCTTTCCCTGGAAGTTCTCTTCCTCCCAGACTGTGATCTTAAACTGGCCCATCTGCTCCATCTGTTGAGTGTTCATGGCTGCTGCTTCTCCCTCGGGGGTTACTCTCTGAACAACGTACAGAGTTTAATAAAGACCCTCAGCATAAAACAGATTAGGAATAACACCATCACACAATCACAACTAAAGCCCCGGGTAGCATGAGCAATCAGTGGGGTAGAGGTCGTCAGCGAGCCAGGCACATCTCTAAATTATCCTAAAACTGCAATCTTTATCTGGAAGCTTGGTGAAAAATAAAACATTTGTTGCATCTATTTTTAGCTCACTCTCCAAAGGTGTCACAAGTGAAAAATTCCATTCATTCTTTGCTTTTCCATTTCCTTAAAGCACAGATTCAATCAGATGGAGATTCAATCAGCAACCACGTTTCCAGCTCATAAACTGCACCGTGAGACTCCAGCGTGGCAGATAGAACCACTTCCAGCCAGAATCAGAGTGAAAGCTTATGAAGTTTCATCTCTTTCTAGTCTGGCTCGTTTGATTTTGTTGTGGTGGAAAAGCACACAACACTGCACTCAGATAAACGCCTGCATTGTCTTTAAAAGCCACACACAAGCACACCCGAAAGGCATCATCTTGCCAGCTTATTATAGGAATACACAGCTGTCCTCATGATAAAGTTCTTTAATGTTAACAAAGTGCGTCTGTAATAGACTAACTACCAAAGCCACAGTGTGAGGAGCGTCTCGCTGCCTGTCGCTTCCACCTAGTACACAAAGCTGTCACTGTTTCTTGCAGCTAAGTCTGAGGCAGTGCTGAGATACTTACAGACGGTACTGAGGTGGGACAGATCCAGTATAATCAATGTCGGGGGAGAGACCCTCGCCTGTGTTTTTATAGGGCTGGGCCCCCTGGACCCAAGCCACTCCATTTGCCCAGCAGCCTTGCACACTCAGCAGCTGAGCGGGCCGGCTGAAAGGGGAGCATTAGCCTCGTGCTTTGTGGAGGCTCCAGAGCACCATTGTCCTCAGAGCCCCAAACTGACTTAGTCATCAATATGGCAGCCACGGTCAGTGGCAACCTGACCCAGGACTATACAATGGCAACGCACTGACACAACAGTTTGATTGGTGTAGCGGGATAATAGACACATTCTGGGAGCTGATCCCCTCCCCCTCCCCCTCACCCTTTGCAGTAGGTAAACTGGATCCTAAACTCGAGGTGGCAAAGGGTCCAAGGAATGCCGCACACTGAGCACAGGACATGTGCCACTTTCATCTAGGACATGTTTTTCTTTCTTTTCCTCCGGCTCTGGAAAGAACTGGAGGGTGAAGTGCTGTAGTAAAAACTGCAGTGCTTTGTTTTTCAGATCAGGATCAGACCAAATCACAGTTTTCATTATACAAATGAGAACACATAGAGGTGTATCATACACATCATACACATAAAGAAATTGTCTTTAGGCTGATGAGTCCACCTACATGAGCATTCTGACGTACACTGAAGAACAAACATGATCTAAACGCTTATGTTGTACGTTTTGTTGGAAAAAGCTTATTCAGGTTTATTCTACTTTTAAATGTCATCTGGCTTTTTAACAATACTGATCAAAGCTGTATTACAGATGTAGTAATTATATTTGCATGTTTTGCCCCATTTTTCCTATTTTTATTTTTATTCTTTGAAGCTCCAAAAATGTGTATGAATGGCCTTTGACATTTAATGTTATAAATAAAACAAGCTCAACGTACTTTGTATACCTTTTTCACCTCTTATTAACAGAACAGGCTTTATTTGTCTAACAGCTCCACTGCTGACTGAAAACTGTTGAACAGTTCATCAGATGCGGACCACGTTAAACCTACAGACATCACC